TACATCTAGTAACTAACTCATTAGCTACATTGCTTGCAAGGCTTATTGTGATGTACATTACTGAGAGGGCCCAGAGATACCTCTCCGACAATCGGAGTGACAAATCCTAATCTTGATCCATACCAACTCAACAAACACCATTGGAGACACCTGTAGAGCACCTTTATAATCACTCAGTTACGTTGTGACGTTTGGTAGCACACAAAGTGTTTCTCCGGTATTCGGGAGTTGCATGATCTCATAGTCATAGGAACATGTATAGTTATGGAGAAAGCAATAGCAACAAACTAAAAGATCATCGTGCTAATCTAACGGATGGGTCAAGTCAATCACATCATTCTCTAATGATGTGACCCCGTTAATCAAATGACAACTCATGTCTATGGTTAGGAATCATAACCATTGTTGATTCAACGAGCTAGTCAAGTAGAGGTAAACTAGTGACACTCTGTTTGTCTATGTATTCACACATGTACTAAGTTTCTGATTAATACAATTCTAGCATGAATAATAAACATTTATCATGATATAGGGAAATATAAATAACAACTTTATTATTGCCTCTAGGGCATATTTCCTTCATCCTCACCGTGTGACAAAGTAGGGGTAGCGAGGCACGTATTTGTATTGTTGCCATCAAGGGTAAAAAGATGGGGTTTTCATCATATTGCTTGAGTTTATCCCTCTACATCATGTCATCTTACTTAAGGCATTACTCCGTTCTTATGAACTTAATACTCTAGATGCATGCTGGATAGTGGTCGATGTGTCTAGTAATAGTAGTAGATACATAATCGTTTCGGTCTACTTGACACGGACGTGATGCCTATATGCATAATCATTGCCTTGGATATCTCATCATAACTTTGCGCTTTTCTATCAACTGCTCGACAGTAATTTGTTCACCCACTGTGTTATTTTCCTTCAAGAGAGAAGCCTCTAGTAAAACTTATGCCCCCGGGTCTATTTCCCATCATATATTTTCAGATCTGTAAACCAAAAAACCAAAAAATATCTTGTTGCAATTTATTTACTTTTATTTTGTTTTATGTTTTAGTAATCTTTTATATCTATCTCTATCAGATCTCACCTTTGCAAGTGACCGTGAAGGGATTGGCAACCCCTTTATCTCGTTGGGTGCAAGTGGTTGATTGTTTGTGCATGTGCATAGATTGGAGACTTGCTTGTATCTCCTATCAGATTGATACCTTGGTTCTTAACTGAGGTAAATACGTATATCTACTTTGTTGCATCACCCTTTCCTCTTCAAGGGAAAAACCAACGGAGGCTCAAGAACTAGCAGGAAGAATTTCTAGCGTCGTTGTCGGGGAGATCTACATCAAGCCTACCAAGTACCCATCATAAACTCTCATCTCCTGCATTACATTATTTTCCATTTGCCTCTCGTTTTCGTCTCCCCCACTTCTAAAATGTTTTCAGAAAAATGCAAAAAGATTTGCCTTTTTTATTCATCCTTCTTTCGTTCGTCTTTTCGTTTGCTTCTTGGTTGCTCGTGTGCTAGATTGCTTGATTTGCTTTCATGGCTAACCCTTCTACCATTTCTAGTACTCCCGAGAGTGAAGTTCTTATTTTTAAGCAAAGGGAGGGAGAAAATTTAAAAGATGCTTGGTATAGAATTTGCAATGCTTAAAATAGATCTACCCGTAAGCAATCAAGCTACTACCGTTTTGCTTCGTAATTTTTATGTGGGTGTTACTCCTTGCAATAGATATGTTCTAGATACCATTACTGGGGGAAATTCTTGGGGAGCCACACCTTGGATGCTTATAATGCTATGATAGATTTGGTAGGCTCATCACCTCTTATGATCAATGAAACTGTTTTGCCTTTGGAACATGTGATGCAAAGACTTGACATTATTGAGAATAAAATTACTACCGTAGAGCTAATTGAAAACTTGGATAAAAAGATTCATAATCATATTACTCAGTATGGATCAAAGGTAGGAGTTACTTTGAAGAATCTAAAGGAAAAATAACCCATAGTTAATGAGAAGATAGATCAGGGTTCTACTAGAATTGATAAGTTAGAGAATATTATTACCAACTTGGGTTCCGCTTTTGCCTCTGTTAAAACTACCCCAAATTTTTCTTCCATCATGGTTGATAAGTTTATTTATGTTACTAAAAATAGAGGGGGGTCATCTAGTGGAGAAAATGAAGATCTTAAGATGATAAGTATTCACCCTAGTTTTGTCAATATTGTAAGAGAACCTTTTGTTACCAATGAATTTCTTGATTTCCTTCCAAGGAGTGTGATTATCGATAAGATTAAAAACCTCCTACGAGGCCCAAAGGTGCAATTGAGGAATTGCATACCAAAGATGACAATACCTAGATCTATGTTTTATGCCTAGCGACGGGCGTTAAACAGTAGCGCTTGTTGGGAGGCGACCCAATTTTATTTTATGTTTTTGGTTTTTGGTTATGTTTCGCATAAATACACATTATTACCTCTGTAGTAATTGTGTTTTGGTGTTTTAGTTAGTGTTTGAGCCAAGTAAGACCTTTGGGATGGCTTACGGTGATAGTTGATTTGATCTTGCTGAAAAACAGAAACTTTTGCATCCAGTAAATAATTTTCATTAATCAGAGAAGCATGATAAAATCCTAATTTTTCTGCGCAAGATTGATATACAAATTTCCCAGGTTGTCCTAATTTTTCTGAATATTTGGAGTTAAAGACGTATTCAACGTTTCCAGATTGTTATAGACTGTTCTGTTTTTGACAGATTCTATTTTCTATGTGTTGTTTGCTTATTTTGATGAATCTATGGGTAGTATCGGGGGATATGAACCATGGAGAAGTTGGAATACAGTAAATATTACACCAATATAAATAAAGAATGAATTCACAACAGTACCAAAAGTGATGATTTATTTTCTTATACTAATGGATCTCATGAGTTTTCTGTTGAGTTTTGTGTTGTGAAGTTTTCAAGTTTTGGATAAAGATTTGATGGACTATGAAATAAGGAGTGGCAAGAGCCTAATATTGGGGATGCCCAAGGCACCCCAAGGTAATATTCAAGGACAACCAAGAATCTAAGCTTGGGGATGCCCCGGATGGTATCCCCTCTTTCGTCTTCATCTATTAGTAAATTTACTTGAGGCTATATTTTTATTCACCACATGATATGTGTTTTGCTTGGAGCGTCTTGTATGATATGAGTCTTTACTTTTTAGTTTGCCACAATCATCCTTGTTGTACACACCTTTTGAGAGGGACATGCATGAATTGTGAATTTATTAGAATACTCTATGTGCTTCACTTATATCTTTTGAGCTAGGCAATTTGCTCTAGTGCTTCACTTATATCTTTTTAGAGCACGGCGGTGGCTTTGTTTTATAGAAATTGTTGAAATATCATGTTTCACTTATATTATTTTGACAGTCTCTTTAAACGGCATGGTAATTTGCTTAGGTTATGAATTTAGTCCTAATATAATGGGCACCCAAGAGGATATAATAAAAACTTTCATATAAAGAGCATTGAAAAGTTTGATTCCTTATGATTGTTTTGAGATATAAAGATGGTGATATTAGAGTCATGCTAGTGAGTAATTGTGGATTGGTAGAAATACTTGTGTTAAAGTTTGTGATTCCCGTAGCATGCACGTATGGTGAACCGTTATGTGATGAAGTCGGAGCATAATTTATTTAATGATTGTAGGTTTCCTAGGGAGGGTGTTCGGTCATGGGATCCTGTTATGACGAATGATCTCATTCAGTCGAACCCCCCACAGAACCTAATGTGCAGTTAGGGGTTCCACACATCGCACATGTGTAGTCTGGTGGTCAACAGGATCCTCCTTCAGCCCACACGCGTGGGCGGATTTGCTTCGTGCCACACGTGTGGCGCTTATTAGGGTCTAAAAATTAAAGATGTGAATAATGATGTTGTGAAACTGGAATTATTGCTTTCGCTCTTAGATGTCGAGCTAAAACTTTATTACGCCTATTACAACGCCTAACTCCGCACTAGTGTACACCTATTGCTCTTCCCGTCACTAGTGCTCGTCGTCCCTTTCTCTGTTCGTCCCAATTTTCTGTCAACCTTCCACCGCTACATGTCAAGGTCCTGACACCTGGGATCCTGCTCGTCGGCGATTTACCCGATATCAACCAGGGGCTCGTGGATTTTGGGCTTTTGGAGTGGCATTGAATCGTTTCTTCGGTAGGGCATTGGGGTGACGACAAGCTGTGGTGGGCTAGGGCGAAGGGGGGGTGCTGAAGCTGTCGAATTTTACATTGGACTAAGGCTGGTTGTAATGGTGAGTATTATATGCATATGATACTAGTCTATAATACTACATCCCTAATGCATAGTATCATATGTTGATATCATATAGGACTACATTTATTGTCATGCATGACACAAAGTAGCACATCATTTAATATGATACGATATCATGATATGATACTCAAGCCTATCTCTCTTCATTTAATTTGATGCCACCTCATCAAAATTGCTTAATTGGCATGCATGATACTATCTATGATACTCCTATTACAGGCAGCCTAATGCTTCTTATCAATTTGGATTCTGTCTCCGTTGAGACGGTGACAACTGCGGTTCACGAACTCCACATGGCGAGGGGTGTCTTAACAAACTCGCAAGGAAGACGAAGGTGTTCAAGGGTTTGTTTATAAAATATTATTTATTCTGAGATGCTTGTGTGTTTTGGGTGCGAGACCTTACCTTTCTAGTGTGTTAAAAAAAACAGCAGCAGAGTGAAGGCTAAAAAGAATTACAGGACCATGACGGTACGTCAATCAAAAATCGCGGCAATACGATGCACACACAAAAAAACCGGAGGGCAGAGGTAAACCGTAGAAACTGAAACTTGGCAGCTTAGAATTCAGATGTTTCCTCGACAAGAACTAAGATCCACAGGCTCAAAAACATTGCGAGTAACCAGCAGGATGCAAGTTTTCATAGCTGCCGCGATGATCTTGTAAGAATGGGGAGGAGCCGTTTTAGGATCTGGGCTTCTCCTTCTTCTCCTTGAAGAGTGCGAGGAGGGACACGCCCGACACCTTCACCACCTTGAACCGGACACCGGGGATGTCTCCCACGGCATGCCCCTTCCGACCGAACCCAGCAATGAGCACCTCGTCCTACACATTCATCATGGGCAGTGTTAGCAAGCAGAGTGAGGGGCCTGACACGATACTAGTTGACAGCAAAGTTCCGGGAGGCAGAAATAGTACTTACATTCTCCTCGATGAAGTTCAGGCAACCGTCGTTCGGCACAAAGGCGGCAATCTTCTTTCCATTCTTCACCAGCTGGACACGAGCGCACTTACGGATGGCAGAGTTGGGCTGCTTGGCCTCAATGCCACTACATACAGTGCAAGCAGTGTCGCGTTACTTATCAATTGTTCGCCAGAAGAAGAAGAAACGGGTATTGGTAGTTGATCGAACTTACATCTTTTCAAGGACAATCCCCTTTGCGTGGGATGAACCTGCAAAGGGTTTCTTCCACTCGTTCCCCAGATGGCTCTTCTTGTAGGCCTTGTCAGCCCACCTCTGGTTCCTCCTGTGGGTCTTGAGCTTGCGCCCAGCTCCCATACCACGTGTCTTACTGCATCAGCATTGCAAAACATTAGGATTGAGGAACCATATGAGAACAAGCTTACCATAAAAAGCTCCAACTTGAACATTTCCTAAAGAGAGTATCAACGCAAAACTACAAGCCCTTGACCACACTATAAATGCAGTAACATCCATGTTAAACTGAATTAGTACAGTATACGAATGCAGTTACATCCATATTAAAGTAAAGAAGTACAGTACTGTTGACATTTTTTTCCTTTCAACATTTCAACTAGCCACAAACATGAAGTAATTTTCAATAATTGACAAGCAATTAATGTGAATATTTACATAAAGATCCAAGGAACAAAAGAGAGGTCTGTCAAGCCCTGAGGAAAGCACTGATAAAGCAGAACTAGCAAAAGTAATACTAACAGAAATACAAGACATTTTTTTAGGGACAAATACAGGACCTTACTAAGTAATACATCCCGTATCTGTATGCTACAACCTCAGTTCTTACATTGGTCAACTTAAACCACTTTTACTTGGCATTGAATACAAGTAAAAGCTTAACTCGCAGATAAATTGTTCAGGGGTCTAGTAAAAATCATACTGAACTTCATAAAATTAATTAAATTATTCGCATTGGAATAAATTTCTCACTCTGGATTTATATGGCCAAGAAGTTGAAGTATAAATCAGAGAACAAAGGCTCTAAAACAAAAGTACCATCAACTGGGATCACGAAAGCAAACAGCACAAAAACCCGAACAACAACTGGACCAAATAATGAAGACAAACAAATTCTAGATTTGCAGGACAGTTCTGTGAAGTAATCATGTCATGAAATTAAAACATCTCACAATCCATATGTGACACCGTATGTGAATCGCCGATCAGGTGTTTAATACGTCTTCATATCCCAGTGAAGTAGAGATACACACAGACGCCCTACAACAGAAATTAGGATATGCTGACCCAGTATGCAATTGGTACATGGGCATGCAAAGGTACAAGGTCCAGAAAGTGGAATCATGCTCAGGACAAGGACCTTTGGTCCTCACTAGCTATTTCGATAATCCTCGAGACTACCTGCATGAATGCCCAACGTCCTGTATGCTGCTAATGCATAAGAAAATAGATACTCCTATAAGTAACTAGAGCACTAAACACAGGATAGGTGTTTGCTTCTTCAACCAATAGTACACAGTTCAGTGAGTAGCATAAGAGAAACAGACATCTAAACTGATTCTCCAATGATCTCTAATGGTAAAAACGTCAAAAGCAAAAGTAAGGGGAATAATTTGTGCAAATAAACCAAGATATGTTTCAGACTAGAAGATTGCCTCATTTAATTAACTACTGTCCACATCACCAATAAAAAATGAAAGGCATCAAGGGTTTGGATGTTACTACTGAAGCCAATTCTATCATTTACATGCTACTTCAAATCAAAGCAGATTTTGCTGGTACAAAGCTCCAGCTTGAAACCTTTCAGGAAACACATGAGAACAAGTTTTTTTTTGCGGATAACATATGAAAACAAGCTAACGATGAAAGGCTCCAGCTTCACCATTTCATACAAAAAGTGTGACGTAAAACTGCAACCACACGACTACACTAAATGAATGTGGTAGTATCCATGTTAAATTGAATTAGTACAGTATATGAACGCGATTACATCCTTATTGAAGTAAAGTACAGTACTGTTGACATTGTTTCTTTTCTTTCGACATTTCAAGTAGCCACAAACAAGAAATCATTTTCAGGACTTATCAAGCAATTAACATGAATATGTACAGAAAGATCCAGTGAACAAATAAAGGTCTGTCAAGCCCTGAGGACAGGCGCTGATAAAGCAGAACTAGCAAAAGAAATAACAAACATACAGGACATTGACAGGTTCATCCTATCTGTTTGCTATAACCTCGATTTCTTACATAAGTCAATTTAAGCATTTCTTGATTGTGAATGCAAATCAAATTTTAGCTCACAGATAATTCTTCAGCAGAATATTATAAATCACACTGAACTGTCAATTCTCAACACCTGACCTTCAGAAAATCAGTTAATACATTGGTATAAACTTCTCGCTCTGAATTTATATAGGACCAAGAAGCTAAGTACAGGGGGCATAGGCAGGTATACATGGTCCAGAAAGTGAAATCATTCTCACAAGAAGGACCTCTGGTTCTCACAAGCTATCTGGATAATCCAAGAAAACACTAGACTACTGTATAGGTGCCCTATATTCTGGTACAATGCATAAGAAGATAGATAGAGGTAACTAGAGCGCTGGACATAAGGGAGGTGTTTGATTCTTCAATCAATAGAGCACGGTGCAGCCAGTAGCATAAGATTTACAGACAACTGACGGCAAAACTGTTAAAAGCAAAGGTACTTATAGGATTTAAGGTGGAAAATTTGTGCAAAAGAAAAAACAAGGAATGTTTCAGACTACAGTGTTGCCTCGTTTAATTAACTACCGTCAACAACACAAGTAAAAACGCAAAGACCATCAAGGGCTTGAATGTTACAAGTGAGGCCAGTCCCCCCTGCTAAGCCAATTCCAACATTTTACAAGATAAAACTCAAACCACATCGGGTTTTTTTTTGTTGGCACAGAAACAATACAGATCACTGCTCATAATAGTCCACTTCAAATTTCATACATGCGTCGGACAAAGGGTCTAGAATCTAGCAGAGCACATTGTAAGATGAAGGTGCTCTCCTGTGGATCTGTTGATACAACAAAATCGAACGGAGTAGCGCGGGACTTGTAGGCGAGATGTAGAGTACATAAAGTTAAATTACCCCATGTTGGGTCGGCGAGGGAGGTCGGGAAGCTCGAAGCGGGGGCTTGGCTGCGACCGACGGCGAGGGCGCTGGAGCCAGGGGCGGCGGCGGCGGAAAAGGTTTCTTGGTTGGAGGCTTGGAGGTGGGCAGGTGGGCGAAGGGTTTATCCGAGGAAGTTCGGCTCCGGCGACGGGCTCAACAATTCAGTGGCATGAGCCTTTATTTGGGCCACATTTGCATTTCCTTTTTACGATATTGGGCCACATTGTCGTTTTTCTTTTAATATTTTCTGTTGTTTACCTCTACGAAATTGTTCAGGATTAAAAAAACGTTTGGGAATTTCAAATGGTCATCAGAATTTCAAAAAAACAAATTTCAAAAACGAGTTTATGAGTTTGAATATTTGTTCTCGAAATCAAAAAATATTTGTGAGTTCAAAAATGTTCTTGCAACTGAAAACATATTTGTGAATTCAAAAAATGTTAATGAATTCAAAACATGTTCTTAACTTTGAACAAATGTTCTTGGATTAAAAAATGTTTGCTAATTATAGAAAAATGTCATTGATTTTTTTGTCAATTCAATAAATTTTGCTGATTCAAGGAAATGTTCAAAATTGCAAAAGAAATACTGTTCGTAATTGTTTTTCCAGATGCTTCCAAATTTAAAAAATGTTAAAGATTTTAAAACCATTCATGAATTTGTACAAAATGTTTGTGAATTTGAAAAGTGTTCAAAATTACTCCCTCCGTTTCTAAATATAAGTCTTTATAGAGATTCCACTATGAACCACATACAGGTGTATATACATGCATTTTAAGTGTGAATTCATTCATTTGCTCTACATGTATTCCATCTAGTGAAATCTCTACAAAGACTTATATTTAGGAATGGAGGGAGTACATAAAAAATGTTCACAGATTTAAAAATTATTCATGATTTCCAAAAATATTTACGATTGCAAAAACAAATGATCACAAAACTAATTATAGATGTTCCAAAAATAGAAATAAGAAAATAAAAATAAAAATATAAGAGAAAAAGAAGAAAAGAACATGAAAGAAATAATGAAAGAAAGTAATCAATGAAAGTTGAAAACCAAGAAACAAATACCAAAAATCTGTCTAGAAAGGTTCTAGAACCAACCTTCCCAAAACCAGGAAAAGGCTAGTTGGACTGGCCCAAAAATGTATGTGCGGGGAACATGGCGCGTGCGGGCGATCTCTAACCAGTGACCCGCGCGAGTAAATCCCTATATGCCGCATGGCGCGGCAAACTGTCGGGGCTCTGCCCAGGAAGGGAGTCCTCTCATATCTAACCCAAATATATGGCGCTTCTATCATATCGGCTTGGGCCAGTCTGGCCCACACGTGCCCGCCAAATATCTCATCCGGAAAACTCTAGACCCCAGTTAATCCGAACTCCACTTCAATCCCCTCTCCGACCACTTTTAGTCCGGCTCCGGCGACGATGGGGAGAAGGTCGCCCTCTTCATCGCGTTGAGGCATTCGCAGCTCGACCAAAGCGGATCCGGCAGCGGCGATCTACTACGTCAGCGTCGATGCAACGCCGGCGACGTCGTTAGCCTGTTCCGCCCGGTGCTCCGCTCTTTCAGGTGCACCGCTGGCCCGTTTCGCCCGGCGCGCAGCTCCGGCCGCTCTGCTCCTTCAGGTACGCCGCCCACCACCACCTTCTCCTCCGGAAGTGGTGCCCGGCCACCGTTGGATCCTCGTGCACTCGCCGGGGCCAGCGCGCACGACGATGCCTAAGTTCGAGGCATGAGCAGCCCCCGCGCGAGCGGCAGCGGGCGAGGGAGAGGTCTGCGACGGGGAAGGCACTGTCCGCGCGGGGGGGTCTATCCTGATGTTGTGCTCCTCATGTCGGTCCTCCCGCCGCTCTCTCACGGCGACGGAGACAGATGTGCCGCGCCTCCGCAGAAAGAATACGCAGGCACTCTGACTCGTCATTGAGTTGTCGAAGCGAGAGGCAAACAAGGAGGTGATGGCGACGGCGTAGGCGGCCTACCATGCGAAGGAGCAGGACCACCTTCTGCGTAGACTGTAGGGCAAAAGGTGCAGTTCTAACTCTGGCCTGGCGAACGGCTCCACCTCCAACCTGACGCCGGCTGAAGCGAAAAGGCGCGTGGGCCCGCGTTGTTGGTGACAGATAAGCCTATTCCCGTCGTTTTCTCCCCGTTCCCTCCATTTCCTCTTTGCTCCCCTCCTTCCCCGTCGCTCCCGCCATTCTCCTCCGCCATCCGGCCACAATGCCACCGAAGAAGTATTCGGCCCCTCGCCCCGCCGCAGAGGAAGCTGAGGGTGCCGATGGCAAGACCACCAGGCTTGTTGAACGCCGAATGAAGAGCAGATCTTCAACATCGGGAGGCGATCGCAGCCGACCGGCGGAACAGGCTCATCACCAAGAGGGCCAGGAAGAGGCGTCTCACGCTGGGATGATGAATCCGCTCGTCCACTGCCCACAAGCCACGTGGGGGAGTCAGCAGAGCGTCCCGTCGCCGGCCAACTTCTCGCCTCCGCCGTTGCTCTAGGGGTACACACCCTCGCCTGGCTACTCCGACGGCGATGTGCATGGCGCGCCGCAGCATTCCTTCCCCTCCGACTTCAAGCATGACCCGCGCACTCCCTCCCCCGCATTCAACACCGGTCTCAACACCCAGTATAGCTACTCGTCGCCGACGTACTCAGCCCCGCCTGCGCTGCCTATGCGCTGGGGCGCCCTACCCTTCGCACCCGGCTCGGCGGCACAGTTCAGCCACACCAACGCCGACATCATCACGAGCGGCTCGGTCGCCGCCGCTTCCTGCCCTGGGTTCGGCGCATAAGATGAAACGATGGACACCGCCGTCGACATGGATGACGATCTCAACGACACCGAGAAGGAGGTGGAGGAGGAAGAACATGCGGAGGCGGAAGTGGAGTGATGTCTACTACACAACCTTCTTCTTGTAAACGTTGTTGGGCCTCCAAGTGCAGATGTTTGTAGTACAGTAGCAAATTTCCCTCAAGTGGATGACTTAAGATTTATCAATTTGTGAGACGTGTAGGATGAAGATGGTCTCTCTCAAATAACCCTGCAACCAAATAACAAAGAGTCTCTTGTGTCCCCAACACACCCAATACAATGGTAAATTGTATAGGTGCACTACTTCGGCGAAGAGATGGTGATACAAGTGCAATATGGATGGTAGATATAGGTTTTTATAATCTGGAATTATAAAAACGGCAAAGTAACTAATGATAAAATTGAGCGAAAACGGTATTGCAATGCGTTGAAACAAGGCCTAGGGTTCATATTTTCACTAGTGCAAATTCTCTCAACAAGGATAACATAATTAGATCATATAACTATCCCTCAACATGTAACAAAGAATCACTCTAAAGTCACTAATAGCGGAGAACAAATGAAGAGATTATTGTAGGGTACGAAACCACCTCAAAGTTATTCTTTCCGCTCAATCCATTGGGCTATTTCTACAAGTGTCACAAACAACCCTAGAGTTCGTAGTAAAATAACACATTAAGACACAAATCAACCAAAACCCTAATGTCACCTAGATACTCCAATGTCACCTCAAGTATCCGCGGGTATGATTATACGATATGCATCACGCAATCTCAGATTCATCTATTCAACCAACACAAAGAACTTCAAAGAGTGCCCCAAAGTTTCTACCGGAGAGTCAAGACGAAAACGTGTGCCAACCCCTATGCATAGATTCTCAAGGTCACGGAACCCGCAAGTTGATCACCAAAATATACATCAAGTGAATAAATAGAATACCCCATTGTCACCACGGGTATCCCAGGTAAGACATACATCAAGTGTTCTCAAATCCTTAAAGACTCAATCCGATAAGATAACTTCAAAGGGAAAACTCAATCCATTACAAGAAGGTAGAGGGGGAGAAACATCATAAGATCCAACTATAGTAGCAAAGCTTGCGGTACATCAAGATCGTGCCAAATCAAGAACACGAAAGAGGGAGATCAAACAGATAGCTACTGGTACATACCCTCGGTCCCCGAGGGTGAACTACTCCCTCCTCTTCATGGAGAGCGTCGGGATAATGAGGATGGCCACCGGTGATGATTCCCCCCCCCCCTCCGGTAGGGTGCCGAAACAGGGTCCCGGTTGGTTTTTGGTGGCTACAGAGGCTTGCGGCGGCGAAACTCCCGATCTAGATTATTTTCTTGGGGATTTATAGGAGAGGTTGGCGTCGAGAACAAGTCAAGGGGGGCCCACTGAGAGTCCACGAGGCACAGGGACGCGCCCTAGGGGGTGGGGCGCCCTCCACCCTCATGGGACCCATGGGACTCCCCTCCGATAATTTTTCGTTCCAGTATTTTTTATGTTTTCCAGAAAAAATCTCCGTTGATTTTCAGCGCATTCCGAGAATTTTTATTTCTGCACAAAAACAACACCATGGTAGTTCTGCTGAAAACAACATCAGTCCGGGTTAGTTCTAACCAAATCATACCAAAATCATGTAAAAATATTATAAACAAGGCATGAATACATAAAAAATTATAGATACGTTGGAGACGTATCATGGAGCCGGAGCGGAGCCAGCGGCGAAAGGGAGGAAGAAGAAGCGGGGGCCCAACGCCAGGCCGGGCAAACCTCTCGTCAAGTGGACGTCCAAGGAAGACGAGTGCCTCGCCGAAGCGTGAAAGACCGTCGGCATCGACCCGATCACCGGCTCGAATCAGAACGCCGACACGTACTAGAGGAGGATCAAGATGGCGTTCGACGAGCGCAAGTTGGTCAACCCCGACTTCACCAACATCGACATGGACAGTGGCGAGGAGGCCTGGCCAATCACTGGGCGACGATCCAGACGGCGTGCAACAAGCGACATGGGATCGTCGAGGAGATCGCGGCTCACCCGAAAAGCGGCGCCAACATCGAGGGTCAGGTATGTTCATAGTTCGCCAACCCAGTTCGTCGCCGTGTACACTTCGCCGACACGTTTTGTCCTCGGCTGTGCAGATGGTTCAGATGT